TGGAAAGAATGGTTAAAGTTGCACAAGGTATATCACTAGTAGTGTTCTTTTCACAAAAAAAAGTTGTTGAAAAAAAATTGCTTCCTCTTTAGAATTATGGTGATTGATACAACACTCACCACTTGGAAAAAATAACCTATGAATTTTGTTTCTCTTCCTTTTGACAAACATTTAGGTACAAAAGAAATAAGTATTTCTACTACCAAGCCAAATCCACTTCTTTATAGATTTCTAATACCACAAAGTCTTCTCTTAAAAGAGGACATCCTCATACTCCTAGAGCAATTATTGTCAAAGATAATAAAGATTAGCTAAGTCAACATGCTTTAGAGATGTTTGCGTTCCTTTTAGACGTGCTTCAATTTCTTTATTTTTAGCAAAAATATTTCCATAGACTTCCATTTAAACATAAAATAGTCATTCATAACATTATGAAGGGCTTGTGGAACATTACCTATCTCCTGGTGCCAAGATGTCTCCATAAATGATGTTATGAACACACGAAACAACTTGGGACATGGACGGTCTACCCTTTTTAAAAGAAACTTGATTGTTGCACCTCATAAGAATGAGATTATGATTTGAGTTTTTTTTAATGAGATGTTCCACTATGGTCTTTGAGAATTTATTTCTCTAGATAATTAAGATCACAAAATCCCGTGTCTAATGATGAGAAACAAGTCCCTCACCTCTACACCTATATTGCCAAGTGAATTTATTTTTTTTAAAAAAATATCCAAATCAATCATAATTGACATTGTTGGAAAAGATAGCCAAATCAAATAAGGGGTGGCTTCAATAAAATTGTTTAAGAATTCATCTTAAAACTTTTTTAAATTAAAATTTTTATAAATATTTTCAATTGACTCGTGTGATTTTAATCAAGTTTGGAATATGGATGTTAAAATATGATTGTGTAAGACATTCAATTTAACAACCAAACATGAAAAATATTCACATCAAGCAATCACAAAAAAAATTCAAGAAAGGGTAAGAAAAGTTTACACAAGATTTTATACTAGTTTAGCCACAACCACCATGACCTACATTCAATCTCCCAATCAACTCGATTGATAATTTCACTAAATCTTTATAAGCGTGAGAGTTTTACAATTATAACTACATGCAAGTTACTTTTGGAAATTTAAAGTAACCCACTTCTTGAATCCCAAGAAATGCTTTCGTAGAAAACCTACTACAAATAACATTATCCTCTTAAGAAACCTACTCTAGAAATTAACAAAGATAAAGGAATGATATCTCCTGGCGAACAAAATCAATTAGGTGAAAAGCTAAACCAAAGAATCTGCCATCTTCATGTAAGTTGATGATGACTTATACTTTCTTGATTCATAATATAAGATTCCTCAATTGATGAAAATTAGTTTTTCATGATCTTTTATAATGAATTTACAACTCTATATCTAACTCAAGTGTTTAGAAGGGTAAAAAATGAGTCACACTTGAGTTCTGAAATGAAATTCATGATATAAAATTTTAAACATGAAATAATTGATTATTTAGTGAGATAGTCGATTATTTTATTCTCATGAATTTGAAAATCTGATAAGAACAATTTACTTGATTATTTTAATGGATAATTGATTATTTCCAAATGCAATTATAAAAATAATCGATTATTTCCAAGCATTTCAAAAGTAGAGCAAACAATAGATTATTTTTTAATGATAATATCAATTATTTGAATTAAAAACTTAATGACTCAGAATTTTTCACTTCAATTCTTTCTAAATCGATTTAAACCTTATTCTCGTTACTCATAATCATTAACCATCATCTTATATGAAGATTATAATATAACTTATTGGTTTAACACTAAGCACAAAATTTAAATATTCCCAAAGTAAAATAATTGGTACAAGTTGCACTCTTAACAAGATATTTATTTGAACACATTTATAATCATTAAAACTCTTGAACTTAATCAATTGACAACAAAGGAGAAAATACTACGTTATTGCTTAAAAAAGATTAACATGTCATTAAAATCCCTAACGAGTTGCCAACGCTGGTCTATTAAACCATGTTGTTGAGCCAAGGATTCATACAATTGTTTTCTAATCACAAAGTCAAGGTAAACATACACTCTCATAATACACCAAGATATTGTCATAAAAAAAACTAAGAGTGATACATTGGGTCATCCAATACTACGTTCTAATCGCAAAATTATGATTTTTCTATTGGAGAACCCAAATACCATTAGCATGACCATGTGACTCCTTTATAGAAACCACAAAATATCCCTCCCCATCCCAATAAATTTGTGACTTGAAAAGGGAATATGAGTCTCTAACATAAACACCAAATTTTGTTTATAACGAACAAAGAGCTCTTTCATGTGATTTTGACTCGTTTTACTTACAGAACCCCAAACATTCCAAGAAAGAACTGAAAAATTTGAACAATCCATCACAAAGAATATAAAAAATTAGAAAGAGAGGACTCGCCATGTCATTCTTTAGTTCAATGGAGCCTCAATAGACAACAACCATGTCAACTACTTCATCTCCTGAAGATCCTCCTAGAATCACCACTGTCCTAGAACGCCTTGGGATTCAAATCAAGTTACATGCACCGTAGGATTTAGAGGTTCAGGTTCAGCAAGGATTTTGAAGCTATTTGGTCCCACAACTTCAACATCTATTACACTAATGTAACCATGTTCAAAAGCATGCTTATTTGCATGTTTAGACACATGTAAAGGGTTTGAGATAGAATTATGCATGCCTTGTGCCTCACCCTCGACTAACGTTTGACATCCAATTTTATTTTCATTAACCCCCAATCTTTATGCACAAGTCGGTTCTTGGAAATAACTTTATTAAGGTCCAAAACAATTTCTCCACGTGATCTTTTATTTTGGGCAACAATATTCTTATTTCATTTGGTTTTGAATTACCCATGTCAATATTGATCCCACCCTAAGAAAAAATCGCATTTGAAACCATTATTTTCTAGATCACGCGTCTTCTTTTCAATCATGAAGAAAACTCCAAATTTACTCCCTTCTTTAACAACTTTTCTTAAATTTTGATCCATTGCCACTATCTTTCTTATCATTATTAGAATGTGATTGCTTTTAATTGTGTTTTCTTGACTACAAGCGAATTACCATACAAATCTTGTGTACCTTGATTCTCTCTGTTACCTTTCCATTAGTCATGCATTAGTTGCATATTATTTGTTGCCATAACTTTTGAGATTTTCATTTTATGCATTAATGATGGTGTCACCCTCGCCAACGATGATGGTCTGGGACTGAACCCCCTCATTCTTCCAATGTTTATAGGTTTTGACAATATATGCCTAAAGAATCACAGCATTTACATATAAGATGCATACACTCATGTTCTACATTGAACCAATGGTCATGAAACCAGAAGCACCCAACTACTAGTTGGTTGAGATTAATTTCAATAAACCCTATAGCTAGCAAATCTTCCCGTGACAACATCCATAGTTTTCATATCCACCCAAATAGCTCTTAGGTCTTCCCACAACTAAGGCTAATGCTAGTAAAACATTTTTATTATAATATTCCATTTTGAGACTTGGAAAGCGAATCCACACTAGTGTGCTTTTGATCTCCAACATTGATGATGCAAAATTTGATGTCCATGGTCTCACTGCAAGGTACCTATAAAAGATCATCCAAGATCTTCTGGAAAACTTTTTCTCTTTATCGCTTGCATGATGAAACTTTACCAGGAAAAAAGCCAAAGCCAATAAGCCACGTTAAAGCCTCCTATTGATTTGCAGATAGCCTTCAACCAATCACACATTGTGAGAAAGCCTATTTTCCCATTAATTCAACAAAAACTGCATCCCTCCATGACAATTACAAACTTGCAAAAAATTCTTCATCAATGTGGCACTTGGGTTTGAGTCTATTGTCATCATCCAATTCCTAAGCAAATTATTGTCTATCGAATCAGTACCTTCCACACGTGAGGTAAGATGTTGTGAGCCTATAACCTTGTCTTTAAAGAGATTTTGACCATTGTATTTTGATCCCTCACCCTCACGAGGCTTCAATGGTGGGGGGCTAGTTGTGAGCATTCTTTTTTAATCACTATTTTCACAAATTGAACATATTATGAGTATTTCTTAATGGTCTCTTTCTGTATGTTACATTAGAACCTTAATATTTTTTTTAATATTTTTTTTTTGCTAAACAAAGACACAATATTATATATATAAAAAAAAAAAAACACAACACAAGATGTACCTGAAAAGAGTTGAAAAGTTTACAAAGAGTTAATGACATTATTTTTCATATATTACAATAATGTCATTAATAAAAACAACATTTTCTTAGTGTTTTCATCTCTTTTTAAAATGAAAATGAAAAAAAATTGTAAAATTAATGAAAATTATTACACCTTTTAGTTTTAAAAATAAAAAACTGGAAAAAAAATTTGAAATTAGTTTTTACAAAACTAACCAATCAAACAATTTTTTTTTAATTTCAAAAAATTATAAAATTTTAAAAACAGTATCCAAACAGGTCGTAAATTTATCTCTTTTCTATTAAATCTTGAACCTCTAACAAAATTATAATAAAACTAAAACATATTTAATGACCATGTTTACATTATATGAGCATGGGGTGTATTAGATTAATTTTTCACTTATATTAATCACAAACGAGAGTGTGATAGTAAACAAAGATATAAAGATTTAATCTAATGCATAAAAAATAGTTCATATTCTAAAATACACGTATTAAAATTTTGTTAATGAATAATTTATACTACATATAAATGTTTATAAAACCTTAAAATCTATCCTAACTCTAGTGAACTCTCAAGAGCACCTCACCTAAACTTTGAAGTGAAAAAAGAAAAAAAGAAAAAAAGAAAAAAAAAAAGAAAAAAAAGGAGGGTGTGGTAAGAAATGTGAGAGTGTACACGAAAGAAAGGAAGCATTGGGCTTTATTCGGGTCAACCCGAATGAGAAGTATAAAAGCATAGTTCTAGGGTTTTAGGTTGTTGGTCGTGTTGTTGTATACTATTAGTATAGCAGAATCCACCTGTGACAGCGTAGCAGAACACCAAACATATCGCTATGACTGCTGAGACCCAGACCCAAGAGGAGCTTCTTGCGGCGCACCTCGAACAACAAAAGATCCATGTAACATTCCACTTCTTCATTCTCTCCTCTTTCCTTTTTTAATTTTAAGGTCCTTTCAAATTGGTATAAAAAGTAATTCGCTTATGTTTGATTGTCTTCAATGTTTTCTTCCAGAAGTTAACTGATTTGTGACTGCTGGGATCTAAAGGACTTTGTTACTGTTAAGGGTTTGTCTTTGATATGAAGATTTTAGGTTTTAGAGTACTTTGTAATTTCTAACTAGTTTGCCCCCTTGGTTTGATCTCAAGTCTTCTTCGAATTCAGTGGCTCACTTTAGATTGTTCATTAGAGTTTCCACCGGTATTACTAAAAGTAGAGATTCGGGAGAGAGTGGAAATTACAAGGATTCAATTGGTTTTCTGGGGATTTTAAATGTTAATGTAATTTTTTTTAATGAAAATAAGTGTATGATTTTCAAATCAAAGGTAAGACAACAACTCAAACTTTTGAAAAGAATGGAGACTTAGTTTTTGATTTGAAAATTAGACTTTTCAGAACCTGAGTTGATTGATTTTCCACTCGGGTGTTTTCTGAAGATTGCTAAGTATTAGTTAAAAGTTAGCTACATAAGAACTTGTTCACTCGACTTATTTATTGGCCTAATATTTGCTTTGTTCTCTAATATCTTGAACTTTTGAATAATATCTTCTGTAGGATGATGAGCCTTTAGTTGAGGATGATGATGATGATGACGAGGAAGATGATGACGATGATGAGGATGATGACAATGCTGAAGGTAAGTTGGCAAATAATATTAACTAGAGTGGTACAGATGACATGCCCACCACTTCCATTCTTGCATTGGGCAGATTTTTAGCAGTGTTTCTCACTTCCTCCTATAGTTTGGTTGGAATTATTATACAGTACATAGAATGTACATTGTCAATAAGATTGATTAATCCGGCTTGCTTTTTTTCCCATAAAGTGTTCTATTGTATTCTTTTTAAATTAAGAAATTGGCTCTTGAAAATTTTGGTCATTATATCTGAATTTTATTTTCTTTATCTTGGACCTTGTATAACAAGGTGCTAATCGTCCTGGTTCACAAAGTTCAATATTGTTTTTGATAAAAAAATTTAATGTCAGGAATTTGAATTTTTTCTACCTATAATAAGTTGAATGTTTTATTTTAATCTGTATTATAGATTAAAAATGAAAAGCTATGGAGATTGTGTCAAACCACTGTTCTGTATAACTCAGTTAATTTTTCACTTTATTTATTTACTTATTTTTTATTTTTACATGAATTGAAGCTATAATGATGGATACAATTCACTGTCTCAGAGCAATTTGTGTTTCATTGCAGGTCAAGAAGGTGATGCATCTGGTAGGTCCAAGCAAACCAGAAGTGAAAAGAAGAGTCGTAAGGCAATGCTTAAACTTGGAATGAAACCTGTTGTAGGTGTCAGTCGTGTAACTGTCAAGAAAAGCAAGAACGTAAGCATTTGACATATCTTTTTTACTTTTGACTACTTTTTTCCATTTTTTACGTCTAGTATGTTTTGGTCAAAATTGAATTTTGCTTTTGTTTTTCTAGATCCTGTTTGTTATCTCAAAACCAGATGTTTTCAAGAGCCCAACTTCTGACACATATATTATATTCGGGGAAGCTAAGATTGAAGACTTGAGCTCACAGTTACAAACTCAGGCAGCAGAGCAATTCAAGGCTCCTAATTTGAGCAATGTGGGAGCGAAGCCTGAACCCTCTGCTGCTGCTCAAGATGATGAGGAAGTAGATGAGACTGATGTAGATCCCAAGGATATAGAGTTGGTAATGACTCAAGCTGGTGTGGTAAGATCAAGAGCTGTCAAGGCTCTCAAAGCTGCCAATGGTGACATTGTTGCTGCCATTATGGAGTTAACTAATTAATGGTCAGATTTGGCAGAATTTTAGAATTTTCAATATGGAGCTATTTTTCTGTTAGTTGAAATTTTTGCTCTCTTTTGGTTTGATAAGTGGTTTGCGAATATTTACGTTTGTTTTATTCTATTTTCTGAGTAATTGTCTGCATAGAAGGAAAAAACTATCGACTCATTCCCTACAATTGTATGTTTAATGCCAAGAAGAATGACAGACATAATTAGCAATTATCTAGTATCTATGTTACTAGAGTGCAAGCTTATGGTACTTCATTGTATGATTTATAAACAGGTGTGAAATGTTCCTTGGCACCATAAGCAGGCACAAGTAAGAAATGGCTAACGGTAGCCTGTTTTCATGACATGGCCACAGAAATTGTGGTTCTGGCAAGGTACTTCTTTTAGTCAAGCTTAACTTCCAATGACATGGCCACAGCAATTGTGTCCAAACAAGAGTTTTAAACCTTTGGCCAGGATAGATAAATCATTTACGGGGGAAAAGGGTATCATAAAATTAGTTTTCCAACGGGTGTTTTCTAGCCATCATAAAATTACTTTGGTCACGTCTTCGAATCAGCAGAATTAAGTTGACAGAATCATGACACGTGTTATGCCCCATCAAACAGTGAGAATCATTTATGGAACAGTTTCGACAAAAGTGAGGAAGCCAAAAGATAGATATGAAAAGATGTTCATCCAAACTTGAATATAATTAGATACTAGTTTGGAAAAGTTTTTTTTTATTACAAAATTTATTTTTGGTAGAGAAGTTATAGTTCTTTTAAGCTTTTATTAGAGTGTTTGGTAATCATTATGGACATGATTTTCAATGTCAAATCCAACGCTCCCGGTTATAGGTTTTGCGTCATGGACTTGAATTTATTATTTGATCCACCTATTAAACGTATATCCAAACACAAGCTATCTAAACAAGCTTTAGTCAAAGAGCTACTCAGGCTTGTGGGATGTTCATTGTTGTAGTCGACGTTGGTGAACTGCTAGATCTACTGCTCCATTAGTGCTACAATTAGCCTGAGAAGGAAACAGGTTCTGCTTGGAACCGCTACTATAATTGCTTCTACTTCTATTTACATTACTAGAACAATGGTTACTTTTCCTTATAGGTGGTAATTTCTTGTAGCAAACAAAAATCAGTTCAAATAATCGTTGCATACTGGTCAGTATAAATAAGCCTAAGTAGACAATGTGCACCATATCATTTAAGCTACTAGCAAGACCCTCGTTATTACAAGCCATATTCCTCCATCGCAGGTTAACTGATCCATATCATTTAAGTTCCTATTCCAATGAGCGTTTCTGCTACTTGACACCTCCTTCAGAACCTCAAGAATAATTGCAAGTCTCCCTGTTATCTTTAACTGTGTGTGAAAAAAATGTTTCATACGACAAATTGTGTTTGTAATGATATTAGATTCAACTAATATTTTGACAAGAAAAACACAGGAGTGCCGAGTATTGTAGGAATGAATGTGTATTTGTTAGTGACGAATATAAATGAACAATTCTTACCGGCTAAGTTCGACATTAATAGTTAAGTGAGTTCTTGCTAAGCTGGACTAGTTAAAGGGAATGGTTTTGGTGAAGTGTGATTCGGTTCGTGCCGATGATAGTTTTTTAATAGCTTAATTCATTTTTATTTTAAATATTTAAAATTATCAATAAGTCCTTTTTAAGTAAATTGGTTAAAAAAACATGTGAGTATCTTAAACCTAAATCTGGTATCTAATGTTACATAGCTCCTTCATATGGTGCCAACCTAGTGACACACTCACATTTTTTAAATTCCAAAAAATTGTTTTGAAAGAAAGGTTAGGTAAGAGTTTTATCGAAGATGGTTTTGGTGGAACATTAAGTATGCAACAATGGTTATTTTCCATGGCGTGCATTGTGATCCTAGAGTCTATACAAAACCCCAATCCCTCTCTATGATCTATTCTAGACTTCTTCCAAGTTGAATGGGGCGACCTAGGGATGGCAATGGAGCCCCAAAGGGGCGGATAGTAGTAAACTCGTCCTCACTCTGCTAGATAAAAATTGACTCCATATCAGCCTCATACCCGCACAGGTATCTGTTAAGCGTGTATCTATAAATTTCTTGAATATCCGTGGATATCCATAGATATTCATAGATATTTATAAAGTTTTTTAAGAAATTAAAAAAATTATATTATAAATAATTTTAAGTTTATATTTAATGTCATTGAAATATTAAAAATAAAAATTTAATGTTAATTTTGAACTTGTAATTAACGTTAATTTTGTTGAAATAATAATAAAAAAGTAAGATAATCAATAACTTAAAATACATCAATTTCACTAAGCATGACATTTTAACCTGGTCTCGTAGGTACCGTCTGACCCCGCCCCGATTTGGACGGGAAAAACCCGTGTTGACCGGGTTCGGGTTCGGGTTTTCCCCCTTGGCAAAATCGGGGACGGGGATGGGGGCGGGGGCGGGGCACCCATACCCACCTCCGTCCCCGCCCCGCTTAATAATGTAATTACAAAACTACCCTTATATACATATATAAACCAAAATTAGAAATCCTAGCCTCATTTTTAGTCACAAAGTTCACCTCACACGGCAACAGGCCAACAACTCTTGCCTCTTCATCTCTTCATCTTTCTTAGAGTCACGAATGCAAGCCACAACTCTCTTTTTCATCTCTTCATCCTGGCTCAAGTGGGATTGAGTATGTTTGGATAAATTGCTGTCATTATTGCCATATTTTTGTGATATTAAAGTTATTTTTTTGCTTGATTCTTCTATTTTTTCTTGTTTAGAGAAGTTGAATCTTCGTGACTTTCCACAGATCACTTGCTTTTACCCTCAATCGTTCACTCTGGAAAGCCCCACGTTGAAGTTATTTCAAAGTGATCATCCCACGTGTGAGGGTGAATATGGGGCTGCTTCAGTTAATTACATACTTCGTCTTATCTCAAATTTGAAGGTAATAGCAGAATCTGCACTCCCAATTTATTTGTAGGAGGTTGTGTGCGGGATCTTAAAATTACATGATGAATAATATATATTAACTGATTTTGCACGTTATGAGAACATTTTCGATTGGTGCTGGTACTCTGTTGTTGGGTTAGTCAAACAGGCTATGTGAGAGTATCTTGAATTTTGTCCGTTTAGGTTATTTCTTTATCTTTCCTTATCTTTGACAAAATCTGCATATCAGAATCTTGACTTCAAATCCTTGACATTTTAAAATCTTTACATTGAAAATGATGTTGGTAGTGCATATTTGTTGCACACATGTTATGTTATGTACAAAATTCATATTATGTTAGGCTTTTGCACGGGAAACACCCCCAGTTTTCTTGTTCCATTTTCTTTATTTTAAGATATTTGTTTCCCTCTTTTTGTCTTTGTCATCTTTGATTTCTCATATTTAGTAGTTATTTTTTAAAAAAATATTCTTAGGAATATAGTTTTTTTGGGTTATTTTTATTTTATTTTCTTATAAAAAGGGTTCTCTTAGATGGATAAAGACAAACTATTTTTATTATACTTACTGCACCCAATAATAGGAATGCCTCACATACTAGTTAATTGTTGATCTACTAAATAAGAGCTCTAGTAAATAATTTATAGTGCAGTTAATTTATTTGTATAACTATTATAGTGCAGTTTTTATAATGTAGTAAAGTGAATGTATTTTTTTTTATACTTTTTGACAGATTTTTTTAAAGAAAGTAATGACAGATATTAATATGACACCAGAAAGTACACCTCAATCAATTCCAGAAGGAAATCGTGATCCTTCAAGTGTTGGTACTACTCCTACAATTAATGAACATGTTCAAACAATTGAACCTCAACCTCAAGATATAACAGGTGATAATATGGAAGAGACAAGTACACAAATAGGGGCAAGTAGGCTTAAAAGTGAGGTTTGGAAGCATTTTACAAAAGTTAAAGTTAATGGAGAAGACAAAGCTCAATGCAATTATTGTAAGAAACATTTGGGTGGAAAATCAAAAAATGGAACAAAGCACTTATGGCAACACATGGAATGTTGTGTAACTCAAAAGATCGCGACGAGAGGAAATAAAGGACAAACATTTCTTACGCACAAGGTCATGCAAGGCAAGCAAGAGTTAGGTACGGGAACTTATGATGCAGAAAATGCAAGAAGAGAACTTGCATATGCAATCATTATGCATGAATATCCACTTGCAATTATGGATCATCTTGGTTTTAAGAGATATTCAACTGCTCTTCAACCATTGTTTCAAGTTCCTAGTAAAAACACAATGAAAAAAGAGATATTTAAAATCTATGCATTTGAGAGATTAATTGCTTTAAAGTTATTAATTGCTTTAAAGTTGTTGGATAGCCTTCAAGGAAGAGTGGCTATTACACCAGACATGTGGACTTCAAGTAATAAAAAAAGAGGATATATGGCCGTCACAGCTCATTATATTGATGGGAATTGGAACTTGCAAAGTCGTATTTTGAGGTAACAGTTTTCTTTAACTTATTTGCACTACACATTATTTGTCATGTAATTATTTGTATGATAAATTGATTTAATTAAAATTTTATTGTGTTAGGTTCATTTATGTTCCCGCTCCTCACTCAAGTGATAAACTTTGTAATGTATTAGTTGACTGTTTGATGGATTGGAACATTGACACAAAGTTATCCACTATCACACTAGATAATTGTAGCACAAATGATGCTATGATTGAAAAAATTAAGGATAAGTTACAGTTAAGCACTTTATTGAGGGATGGTTCTTTGTTTCATATGCATTGTTGTGCACATATCTTGAATTTGATAGTAAAAGATGGGTTGGAAGTGGTGAAAGATGGGGTAGAAAAGATTCGGGATAGTGTAGCATATTGGACAACAACTCCTAAGAGAAAAGAAAATTTTGAAGAAACAGCAAAACAATTGAGAATCCCTTACAATAAGAGTTTGGTTTTAGATTGTCCAACTAGATGGAATTCGACGTACAAAATGCTTGAAATTGCCATATCATATGAAGATGTGTTTAGTCGGTTAAAGCAACGGGAGGCTCAATATACATGTTTGCCTACTACTTTACAGTGGCAATTTGCAAAAGACGTGTGTGGAAAATTGAAATTTTTCAATGCTATCACTGAATTATTTTCTGCTACTAAGTATCCAATTGCTAATATGTATTTTCCAAAAATTTGTGAGATTAAATTGGCAATAGGTAAATGGATAATTTCTCCCAATGATTTGATTCAAAAAATGGCAGAAAAGATGTTGACTAAATTTGAAAAATATTGGGGTGTGATTCATGACATAATGGGAGTTGCAACTGTTTTGGATCCTAGATATAAAATGGAGTTGCTTGAATACTATTATGAAAAGTTGTATGATCATGAATCTTTTTCTCAAGTTAGGATGATTCGACAACTGTGCTATGATTTGGTTTCTGATTATCAACTGAAAATGAGTAAAGATTTAGGTGGTAGCTCTCCAACTATTGATGGTAGTAATGTTGGTAATGATGCCTTATCTGAGTATGATATATACATTATGAAGAAAAAAAGAGCTAGAAGTTCTTTTGTTAAAACAGAGTTGGACCATTATTTAGAGGAGGATGTTTTACCAAGAACTGCTGATTTTGATATTTTGATGTGGTGGAAGTTGAATGGTATCAAGTATCCAACACTCCAAGCAATTGCAAGGGACATTCTAGCTATTCCTATATCTATAGTAGCTTCAGAATAAGCATTTAGCACTAGTGGTCAAATTTTAAGTCCTCATCGTAGTCGACTTCATTGGAGCACTTTGGAGGCCTTAATGTGTACTAGAAGTTGGTTATGGATAGTTGAAACTTCTGGTAATGTTTAAGATAATACATTTAAAAATTTATTAAATGTTTGTATATTTTTATTTTATTAACTAATTTTTTTTACTATATTTGATATTTATAGGTTATGAGAATTCTAAAGTAATCCATGAATTTCCTATTTTACTTGATGAAAAAGGATCGGATGATGAAGGTAATGTTTTATACTATTTATTTTAATGAGTTATTTACTTTACTCAACAATTTTATATTATTTTTTTAATATATATTAAATATTTCTTTTGTTTTATGTAGATGAAATGATGGAGGATAGTGACATTACTTTCCATTTGGAAGATGATCAATAAATGAAAGATGTATGATGGAATGATGAATTGGAATTGCTGCTACTTTTTATTTGTATTTAATAAGTTTAAATATTGTATTTTTTCTAGTTGCCTTGGTCTTTTTTTTTTAATGAAAAAATGGTATTTTGTAATTTTGTTAGATTGAGACAACTTTATGATATTACTACAAACTTTGTTGAATTGAAAAATATTATATTTCATTATAATTAGAATTTATAAACAACATCTACGTACAAAATGCATAACAATACTAGCAAAAGTGTTGTGCCATTTATATCAAATTATCAATAATTTTGATGTCATAATTTCATATAATTAGATATAATAACAAAATATATTAAATATTATTAAAACTGTTTGAGAGATATTTTGACCAAAAGGAATGTAAAAATTTGTATTATTTTGCTTTTTCTTTTATTTTTTAATTTTTTTATTATTTATTAAAAATAGAAGAAAAAAAAATCCAAGAGCGGGGGCGGGGGCAGGGCGGGGAAACCCGAACCCGGTCGAGGGCGGGGATGGGTACCCAAATTTTACCCTTAGCGGGTATCGGGAGCGGGGGCGGGGACGGTTTAAACCTATGGGGATGGGGGCGGGGAACATAAAACCCGCCCCGTTGCCATGCCTAAATCACACAAGTAAGTGAAAGTCTTATATCACAAAGTTACAATAATTCAATCTCATAATGTGTGATGACTAATGTGTGAGCTGTGCGGCTATGGAAAAAAAATAAAAGGAGAGAGTGTAGTTTTAGGGTTATGTGGTATAAGGATAATTAGGATATTTAAGAAATATTATTAAACGATTACCCGCGGGTATGGGTACCATCATACCCGCCTCCGCCCCGTATAAACGGGTAAAAAATTATTCATCCCCGTTATCTGCGGGTACCCAATTAGCCTATCTATTTATTATCCGTAGCGGATTTTATCCACAGATACTCACGAGGACAAGTATTTTTGTCATCCCTAGGACGACCACATGAAAATTGCATAATGCAACCCTAGGTAAATCAAATGTTTGAAATATAAAATAAAATAATTTACATTTAATACAATTATTTCAATACAAAAATATGGAAGTAACTATTTATAAAATCTCAATCACTCGTGGTCCATATTAAACGCACAATTATGTGTGTTACAAATGGAAGGCCAACCATTAAAAAAATTACTTCAAACAAAAAAAGTTAGGTGACACAGAAAATGTTAGTTAAATTTGCGTTTTCGTTTGTTGACTATCCTAGTTTGGTAAATAATTTCAAAAGGACACTAGTTTGGTAAATAGATTGTAAACTAATCCCACTCTAGTCAGAGTCGAATATACAAGGTTTAGACATAAGTTTTAATTCATAGCTTTTTACAAGAGAGAAAAGATGGAACTTGAAGGCTCAGATAAATAGAAAGATTTTTTCAAGAAGTTTTTCTAAAGTCTTAAACATTATGATATTTATATGGCTCTTCAAAAACTAATTGTTGAGAGTTTTCAACCTTGTATCGTCTTTCGTCTTCTTCAAATATAGAAAATGAATGTTGGAGTATTGATGATTATATTAAATGTTTTTCACTGATTTGTCATTTTGATAAGATAAAACAATTTGTTTATCTTATTTTTGTTCAAAACAAACCCAAACACGCCTTTACACAAAGTAGGTGAACCTTATATATTGACATTTCAGCGAGCTTTCTTGATAAGCTTTTAATTTTATTAAGATAATTGATTTCACACATTTAATTGCTACAAAAGACTTGGATGCATAATAACATATATTTAATTAAAGTGCTATGTTTTTGTTCATTGTCTAATTGGACGATCCTATTTTGTTTTTAAATTAAGTAAAACATTCTATACCGTATGGTGCCGAACAGGACGAGCAATCCGAACGCTTTGTGTACCCGAACACGCCGAGTACCCGACACCGCCGACCCCACACGAACGTACGGAACTTATCGGTACGGTCGGCCAAGGTCAACGTCATTACCGGCTTAATTACAAGTAAATTAATTAGCATAAACTTCGGATCAGTCCCCTAATTTCCCGGGGCCCAACCCATAATCACGGCCCAACACGAACACCTATAAATAGAACTCCTAAGAGGTACGTAACTACTTTTGACCTACCGCATTTATTACGCCGAGAACTTACTTGAGCGTTGGAGTGTCTTTGCAGGCACCCCCACTCTCGCTTCGGACCGCCCGGATTGAACGAGAAGACCGAGACCTAAGACCAGACCTACTACAACAAGGATAATTGGAGTATGTATCCTAACACAGAAACACATTCAATGTTATAAAATTTAATAGTTTGTTTATTTAATCAAAACATAATTTAGGGTCTTAATCATACTCTGTTCTAATATATATGTATGTATATTTGAATCTATATTCCATAGTAGAAAAGTAGATGAAATTGATAATGATCTATAACATTTGTAAATTATGATATATTTAATTTAAATATTGTATTTGATGCCTAGTTTTGAATTCATTGAAAGTAGAATTGCATCGTGAATTTTGATATAAATTTTTTGTGTTTTAAATCATATTCGAAGTTTGGGATTTGTTAGATAGAAGTTAAAATTATTTAATTGGTATCGAGAATCTAGAATTTTTTACCCCAGTCAATATAATATGTAAATTTGATGATGTAAATAAATATGTATGCAATTGTCAATCAATATGAGTTGCAAATATATAATTTCCAAATTAGAAAAAAATTAAAAATCCAACCCCAAAATTATTTTTTATTATCACAAAATGGAGGATTAAATAGAATGAAAGATAAGGATAAGAAAGAAAAAAATAAAGAAAAGTTAATAAATATGATAAATGTCATGAGTAAATCACAGGATTAATAAATATGATAAATGTTGTGAGTAAATTATATGACAAAAGTTGCATTAATGCAAGAAAGAATCGATTATGATAGCAAACTAATTGATAATTAACTCTTTACTTTTTCACTTATTTTTTAATTCTAAAATAATATTTATCTTTTTCATTTCTTTTGAAAATTGTTATATTTTTGGCTTAATTACATTTGTTCTCACTCTTTTTTCATAATTATGCGAATTTTACTACTAAAATTTTAAAATTACTTATTTTATTTTTAAAATTTTATATATTTTATCAATGATGAGTTAATCATCCAACACAAACTATTGAGCGACACCTTTGACATGTTGATATCTAATGTATGACAATAAGAGTTGATAAATATGTGCATATAAATTTAGAAAACATACCTAAAAATTTGAATGCCCTTTAATTATATCTTCATTTTAGGTGGCTTTTATGGTTGGCAATGGGTTTTAATCGGGTTAAAGTTGAACCCAATTTGAGGTATATAAATTAAAGTCAAAGTGTGAGGGTTTAAGGCAGTGTTTAAAAATTCGGATCGAACCGATCAGTCGGATCAGTTGGACCGAAAATTGATGGTCCAGACAGTTTAAATTTTAAGTTGGATCGGTTGTCTACCTGTTTCAAATCGAATTGAACCGGTTAATTTTCCGGTTCAACCGGTGAATCGGTGGGTCAAACCGGTTCAATTACTTTTTTCTTATTTTTTTTTAAAAAAAATTTAAGGGACCATAAACCACAAAAATAATAATGAAAATTGAATCTCTTAATGGAAGAACAAAGATTCTTATTAAATATAACAATGACTACTTATTCTAATGTATTTGTTTATAACATATACAACTTAAATAACTTTTATAGTATATTATTAATTTTAAATTATATATTTAATAATATAATATTTATGTAAATATTACATATATTATTTTGTGATATTAATTGCAAGCATATTATATATGTACATATTATTTATATTTTTAATTTGTATTAATATACCGTTTAACATGTAATTTTTTTTTGTATTTTTTTACAAAATAAAAATAAAAATAATTTTAAATAAGATAGAAAATTTAAAATTTAAAATAAAATATGAATTTATTAAAATTTATAAGTATAAAATATATTTAATATAAATATTTTTTAATAAAAATAAATAAAAATTAAGTTATGCGATTTAATTAATAATTCACTAGTTTAACCTTTGACCTACTGACACAAGTACTTTAACCGGTTCCCATTTAAAACTATGATTTAAGGTTTAAGGTTGTTGGTTGGATACAGTGCAGCAGAACAGAATCAATTTTTTGACACTAAATCGCTATGACTGCTCAGACCCAAGAGGAGCTTCTTGCCACACACCTCGAACAACAGAAGATCCACGTAATCCACATCTCTTCTGAAACTCTCTCTCTATTTTTTTTTAACCTTTTGTGTGTTTTTACTTAAATTGATTGAGTTTTATTGAGTGCAATGTTTTTCATCAATTAACTGTTTTAGGGTTTTGTGGCCTGTGTGTGGACTCTTAAGGACTATTGGTAGTGGGATACTTTTTAGGGTTTTTAGTTTTGCGTTTAATTCGAGAACATTGGGGTTTTAGATAGCTTTGTATCTTCTATGCAGTTTGCGTCATGTGTTTCTTCATTGGATATTCGATCAGTAACTTGAGATGTGGAAGAGAGGGTAAGTTTCTAAGTTTTTAATTGGGTCAAAAGCTGAGCTTTTTCCATGGAATCAAGTGAAAAAGAGTTTAATTTCAAATCAAACGTAGGTGAAGAACTCAACCTTTAGAAGAAAAAAAAACACTTAACAATAATTTTTATTCTTAACCTTAATTGATTTTAGCCTGTTTGAATAAACTTTTCCATGAACATTTTCAGGAGAAGAAAATAAAAAGAGAAAATGAAACAAACTTTTTCAAATGCTAAAATTAGTTTATGTATAAGTTAATTTTTAGAATGACTTACTTTTTGCTCTGTTTTCTAGTGTTTTGAACTTATGAATAATATATCTTATGTAGCATGATGAGCCTGTAGTCGAGGATGATGATGATGATGAGGAAGAAGATGATGATGACTACGACGATGAAGAGGATGATGACCATGCCGAAGGTAAGTTGGTTAATGAAATTAAAGGAAGAATGCTATTGATTTTCTTCGCTTTCATGCTTGCATTTGGCAGGGGTTTAGTAGCATCCTCTGATAATTTGGTTGGACTTATTTTGTTAAGTGAAAAGAATGCACATGATCAATAAGATTAATTTTGGTCTCTGTCAATTCATTTCCTTTTTATTTGGAGCCTTGGTCTACAAGGTGTTAGTCATCATGGTTTGCGAAGTTGTTAAATAATGT